GCTATATTCCCAGTTTTCTTCTTTTTCTTTCTTTCTTTTTCTTTTCTTTTTTTTTTTTTTTTAAGAGAGAGAGAGGAAGAGAAGAGAGAATTTTTTTTTTTAATATTTATTTTTCAGGTTTTGGTGGATACAACATCTTTATTTTATTTTTATGTGGTGCTGAGATTTGAACCCAGCGCCCCGCTCATGCCAGGCAAGCACGCTACTGCTTGAGCCACATCCCCAGCCCTCCCAGTTCTTTGCATTTTTAATTTCGAATCTGGATCTTGCTTTGCTGCTGAAGGTGGCCTTGAATTTGTAATCCTCCTAGCCTCCTACCTCAGCTTCCGGAGTCCTTGGGATTATAGGCATGTGCCACCTCTCCCAGCTCTGACTGAGGATTTTTACTAGGGCACATCAAATTTATATATATATATATGTATATATATATGTGTGTGTGTGTGTGTGTGTATATATATATATATATATATATATATATATATATATAATTTATTTATTACTGGGGATTGAACAACTCTGGGCACTCAACTACTGAGCCACATCCCCAGCCCTATTTTGTATTTTAGTTATAGATAGGGTCTCACAGAGTTGCTAAGCACCTCACTATTGCTGAGGCTGGCTTTGAACTCGATCCTCCTTTCCTCAGATCCTGGAATTACAGGCATGTGCCACCGCGCTTGGCCTGTATTTATGTTTTAATGGGTGCTAAGGATCGAACCCAGTGCCTCATGCATGCAAGGCGAACACTCTACCACTAAGCTACAACCCCAGCCCTCCCCAAAGTTTGAGAGGCTGAGGTAGGAAGATCATAGGTTCAAAGCCAGCCTCAGCAACTTAGACCTAGTCTCAAAATAAAAACCAGGCTGGGGGTGTGGCTTAGTGGTGAAGTGCCCCAGGTTTAATCCCTGGTACCTACAAATCTTGGACTCATCCTTGATGATGCTGTCATAATTTATAAAATCTGCAGCAATTTCTGTTCTTTTATGTATGCTGTATAATATGGTAACCAGAAGCCACATGTCACTATTGACCACTTGGAATATGGCTAGTATTGAGATGTGCTTTAAAATGTAAAATGTACAGGAGCTAGTGTTGTGGCTTAGCGGGAGAGCTTGCCTAGCATGTGCGAGCCCTGGGTTCCATCCTCAGCACCAATATAAATAAATAAAGGTATTGTGCCCAACTGCAACTAAAAAATATTTTTTAAAAATGTAAAATATACAATGTGAAATTTTGAGGACTTGGTATTAAAAAGGAAAATCTTAATTTTTAAATGTTGATTGATGTTAGAATGATAAGGTTTTTTTTTTTTTTGTACTGAGGATTGATAAGTGCAATCCGTCACTCACTGTGCTATGCCCCCAGCCCTTTTTATTATTTGATACATTTGTTTTTTGTAATGCTGAGGATTGAACCCAGGGTTTGACCCCTGAGCAACATCCCCAGCCTTTTTTTTTTTTTAACACAGGGTTTTGCTACGTGCTTAGAACTTACTAAGTTGCTGAGGCTGGCCTGGAACCTGCAGTCCTCCTGCCTCAACTTCCCAAGTGGCTGAGATTGCATGTGTGCCCTGCTGAACCCAGGGCTTTAACCTCCTGAGTAGCTAGGATTACAGGATTGTGCCATTGCACCCATGTAGCTAACATTTTTATGGATAGATGAGGTAGACAGTCACATGGCTTACAGCCATTTTATTTTGTTTTTTGTCCATTACATCCGAAGAGCTTTAATTGTCTCCACTAAAATGTAAGCTCTTTGATGGTGCCAGTTATCAAACCCAGGGCGTCATGCATGCTAAGCAAACACTCTACCACTACCACTGAGCCTCATTTCAAGCCCAATAGGGACTTCTTGCTCTAAACCAGTACTTAATATGTAGAACAAGCTCAAACAATGCTTGTAAAATGGTAGAGTACATTCAAACTAATAAGTTTATACCCTACCCTAAATAAATTACAAATAATTTTTTTAATCATGAAGAATTTGTCCACTGTATGTCAATCATATGTTTCAGCTGAGAAAGCATGCTGTTTCATTCTAGTATGGTTTTGTTTTGATTTTATCTTGGAGCTTCTCGTGGTTTCAGAAAACACAGAATCACCAATTTATTCCAGTTTATTTTTGTGAAATTGAAAATAAATAAAGAAATTGAAACTCTCAGGTCATAGCTAATTCAGGGATGATATATATGTATATATATTTGTAGTTGGACACAATACTTTTATTTTTATGTGGTGCTGAGGATCAAACCCTGGGTCTCGCGTGTGCTAGAACCCAACCCTCAATAATATTGATACAGAAGAGGAACTCACATTTTGGTTTGCAGTCTTTTTTTTTTTTTTTTATGATACCCTTTATATTTATGTGGTGCTGAGGATCAAACCCAGAAATCCAGTGCCTCACACATGCTAGGCAAGCACTCTACCCCTGAGCTGCAAATCCCAGCCTCAGTTTGCAGTATCTTAAAGGCACATCTTGTTTAGATTTAGAACTTTTTTTGAGGAGAAAAAGCAGGAGTTAAATTATCTGAGAAAGCTATTATGGTAGATCAATGACTACAAGTAACTTAATATTTCATGTTGGGTCTTTCAAAATTCCCAGTTTAGCCATTGTGTGGTGGTGCTTGCCATAATCTCACCTACTCAGGAGGTTGATATAGGAGGTTCACAGGTTCAAGGCCAGCCTCAGCAAATTAGTGAGACCTTAGATAAAAAGGTCTGAGGATATAGTGCAGTGCTAAAATGCCCCTTCACTTATTTTATTTATTTGTAGTTGTAGATGGACAGAATGCTTTTATTTTGTTTGTTTATTTTTGTGTGGTGCTGAGGATTGAACTAAGTGCCTCATGAATGCCATGCAAGTGTTCTGCCACTGGGCTACAGCTCCAGCCCTCTGTGTACATTTTTTAATACTCTAAAATAAGGGGGCCCCCACACGGTGGCACATTCCTGTAATCCCAGCAGCTGGCGAATCTGAGGCAGGAACATTGCGAGTTCAAAGCCAGCCTCAGCAAAATCGAGGTGCTAACACAACTCAGTGCTAAGACCCTACCTCTAAATAAATTACAAAATAGGACAGGTTGATGTGGCTCAGTGGTTGAAACAAGAACCCCAGAATACAGAAGGTGCTTAGTATTTTATTGAAGCAAGGAGTTTCTTTAATGGAATATTATTTGTAGATACAAAATACTGAGCAGTTGATGGCTTGGCATTGAATCCTTCCTTTTTTAAAATTGTTTTTATTTTTCAATTCTTCAATTGCAAAATTGCTTTTTAAAAATTTTTTTTAGTTGTAGATGGACACGATTTCTTTATTTTTTTATGTGGTGCTTGTGAGATGAGTGCTCTACCCCTGAGCTACAGCCCCAGCCCATAAATTTGTCATTTTAAAGGAAATCAGTATGATCTTCCTATTTATGGATATATTTAAGCACAGGTTCAGTAACTCCTTGTTAAAGGGGAATGCAGATGTTATGCAAATGTTTTATTACTTTGTTTCAATATTTTGAATACTTTTAATTATTTGAAGTATCAATTTATATTTAAGGGTGTTTATGTAAATTTGTAATAAGTTTAAAATTGAACATGATACAGGAGTGACTAAGTTAATTTATCTCCAGCCTGCCTCTAAAGATACTTTATTTTCCTGTTTGTTGTCATTTGGCTGTCATTGCCAACAGCTTTGCTGCTTTTCCCTTCCCCCCATTCTTGCCACTTCTTTATCAGGTAAGTAATGCTTCTCAAATGAAACACTGGAATTAGGTTTTTTTGTTTGGTTTGGTTTTGGTTTTGGTACCTGGGATTGAAGCCAGGGGCATTTAACCACTGAACCACATCCCCTAGCCCTTCTTTATGTCAGGATCGCACCGAGTTGCCAGGGCCTCATGAAAATTGTTGAGGCTGGCTTTGAACTCAAGATCCTCCTGCCTCAGTGTCTGGAGCCATTGGGACTACAGGTGTGTGCCCCTGTGCCTACCTTGGAATCAGTTTTGTAGAAGGGGCTATATATCTTGAAGCTAAACTCAATTGAGGGGGGGGTGTACCAGAGGTTGAACCCAGAAGTGCTTGACCACTAATCACATCCCTATTCCTTATTATTATTTTGTTTTTCAACACCTTTATTTCACTTATTTATTTTTTTATGTGGTGCTGAGGATCAAACCCAGGGTCTCACATGTGCGAGGCAAGCACTCTACCACTGAGCCACAACTCCAGCCCCTATTATTTTTTTAATATTTATTTTTTAGTTTTAGTTGGACACATACCTTTGTTTATTTATTTTTATGTGGTGCTGAGGCTCGAACGTGCTAGGTGAGTGCTATACCACTGAGCCACAACTCCAGCCCCAATTTTTTTTATTTTTATTTTTTTAATTTTACTGGGGATTGAACCCAGAGCCCTGTGTGTACGAGGCAAGCACTCTACCAACTGAGCTATAGCCCCAGCCCCACCACCTTTTTTTTTTTTTTTTGGTCTCCTCAGTTTTGAGATAGGGTCTTTGTTAGACAGGGCTCACTAAGTAGCTAGCCTTGCTTTTGCTGAGGCTGGCTTTGAACCTGCGATCCTCATGTATCAGCCTCCCAAGCCGTGCACCAACATGTCCAGCTGGGGGACTTTTTCTCAAGGGTGCTTCACCGCTGAGCTGTATTCCCAGCCCTTTTTATTTTTTGAGACAGGGTCTCACTAAGTTGCTGGAGCTGATCTTGGGTTTATAATCCCTGTCTTAGTCACTGAGTTTCCAGGATTACCAAAAACAGGTGCCACTGCACCTGGCTTCCCAGCTCAATTTATTCTTTTCAAAAAAATCAAACATGCTGCATTTTAAAGAAAGTAAGAATCACTTCACATCTTTTTACCCACATAAAAATGTTAACTTATTGATGGTTATTTATTAGATATCTCTTTTAATATTCATGGTTAAATATTTAAATATGTGTATAGTTTTATCTAAATGGAGTTTTTTCTTTACATGCTGCTTATTGCTTTTAAACTCTTGTTCAGGGTTTGTCGATGAGGCAGATCAGATTCCGATTTGACGGGCAGCCAATTAATGAAACAGACACACCTGCACAGGTAAAGTCTCTGTTATTTAGAAAAATTGTGCTTTTTTAAACAAGTTTGTGTATCAATTTGTAAACTTTTTGACTTGGAGAGTAATTGTTGTCTCCAAGGGACATTAGAAAGGGAAAAATTGGACTAGATTGAGGAAATGCCAGTGTGTTTTTTAATTACCCAGTTACCACTCAGTAAAGGGTTATTTAATTACTTAATAAATCCCATTTTTCCCTTGTTGTCATCATTATTTGGAAAAAATAATTAAAACCATTGTCTCTTTCTTCAGAATATAAGTTTCATTTGTTTTTGTTGCTGCAGCCCTTGATCATACCCAGGGTTCTCCACAGGTAATTGGTTGGCTATTGATCCTGCCCACTTAAATTCCTCATGCTGAAGTGAATTTGCTTTCATCTATTCTCCAGAATTAATTACTCTTACCTGCAAAGTCTCCTGATACCTTAGTTTGACAGGAAGAACTCTTGATAATAAGAGATTTTTCAGACACTTTGTAAGAAAGGTGATGATCTCTGATCCTTAATCTTTTTTACATATCAGTTTGTTCTGTGACTTGTATGGGATTGGTTGGTCTATCTCCTATGGCAGAACACTTTGTTTCTATTTACCATTTCAACTTAAGATTTTAGTCCTGGAAACAAATAATTTACTTGCAGAAATTTAAAGTGCATCATTTATACTTTTGAATTTTAATTTTGTTGCCCAGTAAAAGAAAGATAAGTATGGCATTAATGAAGTAGCACATCCAGATGTGGTTTTGTTGATGATCTTCAAAAAATTGACATATCTGAGTTCTCTAGGGGAGAATATTTTGAAGAAGATTTCCATTGGTGAGTCTCCATAAAACAATTGCATAGTGTAGTCGCTAGGAGGTGCTATAGTCTCTATAAATAATGGCCCTTTTTTGGAAGGCTTTTACAGTTTTAGTAAAAAATGTAACAATTCAAGCTGGGCACAAGCCTGTAATCCCAGCGTGGAGGCAGGAGGATCACAAGTTCAAAGTCAGCCTCAGCAATTTATTGAGGTGCTAAGCAACTCAGCAAGACTGTCTAATAAAATATAGAATAGGGGCTAGGGATGTGGCTCAGTGGTGGAATGCCTCTGAGTTCAATCCCTGATTCTCCCCCCGCCCCCCCCCCCCAAAAAAAGTGACATTTCAGTGTGAAAAGGTAAGCCTTAATTAAAGAGCCTTTGATCTTGAGGTGGGCTTCGTGGTGTACATCTGTAATCCCAGCAGTTTTGAGAGGTGGAGGTGGGAGGATTGCAAGTTCAAGGTCAGCTTCTGAAATTTTGCAAAACCATGTCTCAAAAATATAAATGTCTGGGGATGTGGCTAAGTGGTAAAGTCACAGATTTCAATCCTCAGTACAGGATTGGTGGTAGGAGAGAAAAACTCCCCGTGAGGGATTATAAAATGTTTAAGTACAGCTTGGAATTATTTTGGTTCATTTTAGAACTCTCACAGTATTTCTCAATTACATGAAAAGTTCTATTTAAGATCACAAATGATTAGTATGTGCCCCTCATTCTGCTAGTTATGGTTTACTTTCTTGGACTCATTTTTAATTGTTATAACTGAGTGATATTTTATAGAAGTGGGAAATGAGAGTCATGGATTTATTTTATTTAGGTATTGGGTGTGTTATCACTGAGCAATATATCCACAGGATTTTTTTTTTTTTTTTTTTGAGACAGGTTTGTTTAAATTGTTAAGCCTGTCCTTGCTTGAATTTGTGAACTTTCTACCTCCTGCCTCTGCTTCCCCAATACAATCCTTGGGATTATAGGCAAGTAGCCACCACACCCAACTAGAAGAACTAGAGTTAAGAATATTTTAATATTTAATATTACCTCTACTTTTAGTCTATTTGTATCTACTTAGAACGAGCTTCCTTTCTTGTCTTAAGGTATCCAAGGGTACTATTTTATTTTAAAAAATATCACTATTTAGCTGGGTGCTGTGGTGTTTTCCTGTAATCCCAGAAAGTCCTAATGCTGAGGCAGGAGGGTCACAAGTTCTGGGCCAACCTGAACAATTTAGTTAGACCCTGCCTCAAAAATTTAAAAAAGGGCTGGGGAGGTAGAGCACCCCTGGTTTCAGTCCCCAGTTCTGAGGGGCAGGGTGATCAGTTTTTAGAAGGAATGGTTTAAAAGTTAATTTGCAGCATAGTAAACAATTAAAAAGCTGCTTGACTTTACAGTGTTTCAATATGTGCTAAGACCTTCCTATCACCATGGTTGTTTTACAGATAGTGTGTGAATAGTAAATCTTGGTAACTAAATTTTTGAATATAATTTGGAATTTTAAATTGTTTTTTCTATATAAATAAATTTGCATGATAAAGTGAACTCTTATTGCCTATTATCTACACTCATTTTTATAAACTCATAAAAACAATCTAATCATACTATAAGCTATTAATCTGCTTAGTTTTTAAATTTTATTTTTAGTCTTATCTTTGGGATATAAATGTATCATGTTTTATTTCTTTGAGTTTCTATTGACAAGTTATTCCCCATCTTTTCTGATCTAAATATTGCAGTAAGGTCCAGTGGACATATCTAGCTTTTTTAACTTAAAAACGAAGATTTCTGTGACATTCATTTAAAAAGGAGGCCAAGTGAAAAATTACTTAAATCAAATTTGATGCCTGATTAATCCATGACATCTAAATTAATCAGTGGTCTTAAATTTGTTTTTCTGTTTTATACTAGTTGGAAATGGAGGATGAAGATACAATTGATGTGTTCCAGCAGCAGACAGGAGGTGTCTACTAAAAAGGGAACCTGCTACTTTACTCCAGAACTCTGTTCTTACAGACCAAGAATACATTCTCAATTAGAAAACTGCAATTTGGTTCCACCACATCCTGACTACTACAGTATAGTTTTCTTTATTCTTTCATTTTCCCCTTCCCCATTCCTTTATTGTACATAAAGTAACTGGTGTATGTGCACAAGCATATTGCATTTTTTTTTTTAAACTAAATGGCCAATGATATGTTTTGATTGACATCAAATGGAGATGGGATGGGGAAAAATACTGGTTCTGTGAAAATATCCCCTTTCTCCATTAGTGGCATGCTCATTCAGCTCTTATCTTTATATTCCAGTAAGTTATTTTGCTCTCACTGTTTTAACAAAAAACAAAAAAACAACAAAAAAAAAAAACCTGAACAACATAAAAATCCTTGCATACCTTGTTCGATTGGAGAATTTTAATGTTTTTCATTTATCATTGTAAAACCAAGGACAATTTTATAACTTTTTTGTACGTAGCTGTTACATGTAGGGCAATCTGTCTTTAAGTAGGGGTAAATTACTCTTAAAAAAGATTCCTAGATAGTTTTCCCTTCAAGTCAAGCGTCTTGTTGTTTAAATAAACTTCTTGTTTAAAATGAGCTGTTTTCTTTATTCTGAAGAGTATTAAATAAAAAGTTGAAGCCTAGAATAAAACATGATTTGAATGGGCCTGCTGGAAGTAACATTTCAGGAGAAGAAATGAAATTATTAAGCATTTCTGAGCAAATCATATAAACAAGGAGTAGCAAAGTTGTATAAATGACTGGCATTGGAAGTTTCGGCATCTTCAAAAAAGCTTGGTACACCTGTAATCCCAGCATCTCAGGTGCCTGAGGTAGGAGAATCTCAAATTCAAACTAGCCTCAACAATTTAGCAAGGCCCTTAGTAATTTAGTGAGACCTTGTCTCAAAAAAAAAGGGTTAGATGTGGCTCAGTGTTTAAGCCTCTGGTAGCCTCTGCTGCCAAAAACAAAACAAAAAAGGAAGATAAAGCTTTGTTAAGTCCAGTTCCAATAATGCAACTATACTAGCAAATTATTTGGGTCATAATGTTATGGCATTCACTAAGAATATTCTCTTTTGTAACCACTACCCAAGGCAGAATAGGGCAGTTCCTGTATTAAAAGATTCTGATTTTGCTTTCTCAGCTAATCACCTCATAGTTTGAGTAAAATATCCCTAACCTAACAAGGTTTTTGTTCCTCATTTATAGATGTTGAAGGACAGAAAATGTCTACATTTCTACTCTTAGAGCTTAAATACTTCAAGACACTACAGTTTTTAAAATATATGTAGAAAAATTATAGCTTTATTAATGGCTTATCCTTTTCCTTGGAGTGAGGGTACTGAGGATTGAACCCAGGTGTGCTTAACCACTGAGCCCACATCTCCAGCTCTTTTTATGTTTTAGGTTGAGACAAGATCTTACTAAGTTGCTTCAGATTCACTAAATTGCTGCTCCTGAACTTGTGATCCTCCTGCCTTAGAGAGGAATCTTGCTAAAATTGTTCAGGTTGGCCCAGAAATTGGCAGTCTCCCTACCCTTACTTAGCCTTCAGTCACTGGGATTATAGGCACGCTCCACCACATTCCCTGAAGGGTTTTTGTCACATAGTCATAACTGGGATTTGGGCTGGGTGTGGTAGTTCACCATTATATTCCAGCTACTCTAGAGGCTGAGACAGGAGGATTGCAAATTGGAAGGCAGAGTGGTCAATTTAGCAAGACCCTGTCTCAAAAATATTTGAGCCAGGCATGGTGGTACACCTCTATAATCCCGTTGACTTGGGAAGCTGAAGATCACAAGTTCAAAAGCAGTGTCTGCAATTTGTCAAAGCTTAAGCAATTTGTTGAGACCATGTCAAAAGAAAAATGGGCTGGGGCCAATCCCTGGTATTGCGTAAAAATAAAAAAGCAAATCTAGAATTTTGAGATTGTGTTTCCTGATGCCCCTCTCCTTTTCCCCAGTGACTATTCATATGACCTTTTTTGGTTAATTCTCCAAGTGCTATCATGTAATACTTCACTTAATTCACTCTACTGTGTTTCAGTGTGGTGTTTACATTCCCATTTATGTAGTTGATGACCCTCCCCAGAGACAGGAGGGATTCAGTAGGTTTTTTTAGCTTTGTATATGTATGAGTCTGCAATCAAGTGAATTTCAGTTTCTTTTCTGTGTAGTGGTATCTGCCTGTTTTTCCAAAATTTATACTATAAAATGGGAAACTTGCACAAGAATTCTCAGTATGAAAAGCCTAGCATGGTTGAACACATCTATATATGATCTCAGCTACTGGTGGGTGGGACAAGGGGGTTGTAACTTCCAGGTCAACCCGAAAGACAGGGTCCCCAGAAATATTGGAGTTATAATAGCTTAGTGGTAGAGGCTTGCCTGGGTTCCATACCCTGTATTGAAAAAAAAGTTCTTGGTATGAAGAAATCAGGTAAGGATAGTTCTCTTTACTTGATACTCTAGAATACTATTAAATATTGGAATTTGTGGTGTCCTTAAAATTAGATGACTGGGCATAGTGGTACACCACCTGTAGTTGCAGTAACTTATGAGAACGAGGCAGAGGGATCTCGAAATTCCAAGCCACCCTTGGCAATTTAATTAGATCCTGTTTCAAAAAATAAAAAGGGCTGGAGAGTGGTACAGTGTTCCTGGGTTCAATTGCCGCCAGTACTGCAAAGAAAAGGAATTAAAAATTGTTTTTTTTCCTTTTGCATGGGTCTTTTTTTTTTGAACACTTTTAGTTGTAGATGGACTCAGTACCTTCATTTCATTTATTTTTATGTGGTGCCGAGGATCAAACCCACTGCTTCACACATGCCAGGTAAGTGTTCTATCACTGACCTAAAACCCTAGCCTCTTGCATGAGTGTTTATATTTTATGGTGCTAGGTATAGAACCCAGGGCCTTGCACATGGGAGGCAAGCTTCTACCAGTGACCTTTAACTACTGCCCTTTTTATTTTTATTTTTTTAAGATAGCGCTTAGTTTTTTGGTTTTTGTTTTTAACAATTATTAGTTGTTGAGGAACCTTATTTATATGTGGTGCTGAAAATCTAATTTAGTGCCTTTATACACGCTAGGCAAAGGCTCTACCACTGAGCCACAATTCCAGCCCCAATTGCTGCCCTTTGTTAAGTTATATATTGAGACTGGGTCAGCTTGGTGATCTTGTCTGCCTCCCAAATGGGATTACAGGTTTTTGCCACAGGGCACATCTGGAAACGTCACAAATTTGTTTTATGCAGTGCTGGGGATAGAACTCAGAGGCTTGCACATGCTATGCATGTGGTCTGTAATTGAGCTGTATCTCCAGCCCAAGGAAGATAATTTTAAAATTCTTTCATAGAGAAACTTTTGGGAGAATTAAATTTAAAAAATTTTAAAAGATAGAGGGAAATGCATGGAAAGGCCACTATTTGGTGATAATGATATTTGGGACTGCTACTTTTTTTGGGGGGGGGTACTAGGTTTGAACCCAGGGGCACTTAACCACAGAGCCACATCCCTATCCCCTTTAAATATTTTATTAGAGACAGCATATCATTGAGTTGCTTAGGGCCTTGTTAAATTGCTGAGGCTCTCTTTGAACTTGTGATCCTCCTGCCTCGGCCTCTGAGCCACTGGGATTACAGGTGTGTGCCACTATACCTAGCTGGGACTGCTACTTTTTACCTTATTTCTGTCTTCGAACTTGTTAAATTTTTTTTTTCTCTCCAGAAAAAGGAAAAATGTTTAATGTTTTTAGTTGTTCATGGACACAGTACCTTTATTTTACTTATTTTAATTTGGTGCAGAGGATTGAGCCCAGTGCTTCCCACATGCTAGGCAAGTGCTCTACCACTGAATCCCAGCCCCGGAAAAAAGTTTATTGCTTTTCTACCAAAGGAGAAATAAACAAGCTGACTCCCGTCCCAGGGTCTCTGATTCTCCCCATCAAGGGAAATAAGATTTTAAAGAGGTGATTCAAAAGAATCCTGATATTCGGGAGGGGAGAAAAATTCATCCATTTAGAGCAGCAAGGGTTATGTTCAAAGTAGGAAAAGGGCCACTGTTAAATTTCCCACTGTCAATTTCTATATTACCTTTCCTTGGAAAAGTGGGCAACAATATCTCCAAGCTGCTTCCTACTGAGAGAGGGGAAAGTTGGGAGGAAGTGACCAGATTTTCTCCAGGTAGGGCATACCTATTTAAAGGTATTTAGCATCAGGCCTGTTTAGAGGTCCATTGCAGCAGTTGGCGGGTGACTGGACCAGGCATACATACATAGGGCAGGGAATCATTCTAAGACAACAATAAAATAGCATTCCTTTTTTGTAAACAATTAGCACAAAAGCAATTAGTGTTTCAGCCACTCAACATTCAGGACAACTTGGGAATCTAAAGTCCTTTGTGATAGTTATAACAACTATTGGCATATTATAACAATTATAATTACAACAGTTATAGGCATTCCCACACAAGAACCCTTCCTTGCCAAGGTGCAGTGGCACACGCCTATAATCCCAGCAGCTTGGGAGGCTAGATAGGAGGACTGCAAGTGCAAAACCAACCAACCCCAGCAAAATCAAGGCATTAAGCAGCTCAGTGAGTCCCTGTGTCTAAATAAAATCCAAAATAGGGCCAGGGAGGTGCCTCACCAATCAAGTGCCCCGGAGTTCAATCTCCAGTAGCAGGAAAAAAAAAAAGAAGAAATGTACACTTTAAATTACATTTTAAAAACCCCAACCATTGTCTTTCCTTTGAAATGTCCATGTATGATTGTGCTTTTATTATACTCTACTACTCTACTGTCAGAAATTTAAGATCAAGTTGATCCAATTTGACCTTGTTCTTATCTACTCTTTGGGCCAGCTGAGATTCCTCAGACATCACTTTTGGGGATCTGTGAGA